CATTATGTTATTACAAAAATTGGAATTTCCACGTTTAATCGATTAAAAATGACGAAGTACGTTTTTTATCTTTCATTCATTATTCGAAACTCTTTATCTAAATAATGAATTTGCCCGTCTCTGGTATGAGGACATTTATCCAATGTGCAGTAAATGTTACAAGGCATTACAAAATTACCGAAAGTTTAAAATAGATAATGTTTAAGGATATTAAAGCCGATGGACTACGCTTATGCTACTATGAAGCAATGAAAGTGGTCCAAAGTATATCATTTTTACGAAACATCCCGTTTTTTTTATACACACCAGGTATCTCAATACTTATGAATGGTAATGTGACTCAAATCCTTAACCCTATTAAAAGAGTCCTAGTACTGCTAAGAGCTTTTAGAAAATGTTAGGCAAATTCTAGTATTAGATTTGTGAAATAATAGATACTACATAATAGATATAACACCTCTGCGAGAAAAGTGTCACCTGTATCAAACTTGCATTTTATTGCGTAAAATATCTTTAAATACCTAGATCCATCACTTAAAAAAATGTCCCAAATTGAAGTCCAATATATTAAGCCAGATGGCATTAGTGTCAGTTGGTTTAATATATGAAATGCTACGTAATGAATCAGTTTCTTTTTGCTGGCCTGGAAAATTACATGTTTCCGACTTGTGACGCTTTTCTGTGATAGTAGTACATAGATGACACTCTTTTTATCGTAGTTTTTAAGGATAAACTGTATTCAAAGATACCTAAAGCTTCGGTGAACGCAATATGTATTATTATTGTTATTATAACGTCACTAATACATATTGAAGAATTAATTATACGTATTATTATGTAGATACGAATAAATGAATAGTTATTATTCTTTACTCGTTTAATCTTCTGTCACAGTTGGTAAGAATATGACGAGGCTTACTTGTATTCAGAGATTCCCAAGAGTTTAGCTAGACAGAAAGTCATCCGCGTCTACCAGACGTTCCACTGTTTAGAAGTCAAAGTCATCGCGAATGCTTGGTCGCTCGAGCAGACAATCGATATCTGTTGATATTACGATACAGATCATATAGTATTTGTGCTGTTACAAAAAGTTTCTTCCGTGTCATTATTTGACACCATACCATCAACCTCAGTCTGAGCGTTAATATAAAAGGACACGCATGTACAGTGAGGTCTCTAGTTAAATGACGTTGTGGATGCTTTTTAATTCTCTCTTTCTAAAGGATGTGAATGATATTATTCTAGTGATTACAGAGTTAATTAAATCGAAGGATCTTCCGGCGTAACGACGGCTAATAGACGTCTACGGGGACTGATCGAAATTCAAATGGAAGAGGTGTCGGTGCACTTTCACCAAATTATAAATGATGGACGGCGAAAGTTGTTATTCTTTATGTCCCCCAGTGAAAGACTGTCGAGGATTATGTAACGTTTTACGGGCTTTCTTTCGAGGAATTCATTTCTGTATTTACATAGCTTTGTGCACCAACCACGTATTTGTTCGTCGCTGAATAGCACGTGCGAATCTCTACGAAATCTCGGAAACGCAAAATGCATTGTTTCCTAGTAACAATATTTTCTGGGTAATCGGTAATCCCAGAAGCACCGTATATTTCCAAGTTATTTAATATATTTCAGATCATCTACTCTAAACTTGTTTGCGATGTGTTTTAAGAAATTAAGTCTTAGGGAACGGCAAGCCTATTTCTTGGCTCCAGAAGGGTCGCTTATTTTTATTATCGTAGTATAACGCTATTACAAATATATAAAACTTCTAACTCGACAATATAAAAAGTCATGCAAAAAGCTGCCCGTCTTCTAAAAGTCAGGTATGAACCTTTTGTGCATGAATGTTATTAACCCTTTACTCAGACCTTTAAATAGTTATTTCAAAATTATGAAACGGATATATATGTTGTGTCTTCTCATTTTGAAGTTGAAAATATCGATATTAAACAGACACATATTTTCATTCTTTTTTCTTTTCTTATTAATTTTTGGAGGGAATACTTGAATTTCCTAACTGAAAATATGGAAATCTACGTCACATCAAGTGATACTATGGATCTTTACTGACAAAAATTAGATATTAACCGACGATAGAATTTGTCGCATTTTTAAAATGAGTATTGCACCGGTGCAGGAGGTGGTTCTATAAGAGAACGTTAGTCGAATAGATGAATTCGGTCGAAAAGACGAGTTTTACGTATCAATGGAAGGGACAATATTGTATGTGGGGAAGGGGGGGGGGTCAGAGGGAAGAACGCGAGTGAAGTGACAGAAAGGCTGAGCAGAAAGAGATTAGAAAGTGAGCAGAATTCACAGAACAGAGTTTCATATAAGACATTTTATTTAATCTTCGGTGGTGTCCAAATATGTATATTCATTGTCATTGTTAAAGTGGCAGCACAGCTACCTATTACTTTCAACCTCCTATAACCCAAATTAATTTTTATTGTTTAAAAAATTTGTTATCTGTATATACTGTTTTTTACTGACCAGTTGAGCAAATGGAACTTAAATTTTCAATCTTAAAGGTTGTAATTTTTTCATCAAAGAGCTTTTCACTTTAAAGTCCCACTGGGTAAAAGTTATTTGCCAATGAGCAGTTATATTGTAATTTTCAAGTTACATTGGTCAATTGTGAGAAAGAATATCCTCATTTGCTTAGTGATAGGAAAACTGGTATGTGTCTTCAAAGTTACACGGCGTTATAGAGGGTTAACGAAACCAAATTCTAAAGTGGAAATAATCAAATCGCTCTACTTTTCTCTTTCTATAATATCAACCCAACACTGCCCGTTCGTTGAATACTGAAAGCTGATAACAATCACATGTCAACATTTACCCATAGCCAGAGGTTATATTTAGCAAATTCTTGATATCTTGAGGTATGTCCAACCGCCTTTATTTAATTGCTTCGACAACTGTACAAACAATGATGTTTATCCAACGAATAAAGAACGAACAACTAACAACATTCATAACATTTGTAATAACATTTTGGCGATTGACGCAATAGTTAATGCGCACTTTTGCCTTCCCTCCCCTCCCCCACGAAGCTGGGCCATTCATAAGCTTCGTAGGGTCTTGGTGGATAGGTCGTGCGTCAGAGCAGACTTCGTATGCAGGATGTCCCACCTAACTGGGACAAGCCATAACGTTAAAACGGTAGAAGATAGAAGAATATTTAGTTATGAAAAATTAAATTATTTCAAGTGGTGCATCACGTGACGTATGTGTCTTCTCCGAAAGTCGAGGCGTTTCGAAGATTTGAAGGTTACCTCTGTTTTCTTAGACGGAACTATATATTTTTTTATATATCCTTCGATGCATTCTTTAATACTCTACAAAAAAGTATTAAGGTACTTGCATCGGAAAATGATTAGTTTAAAAGATATTTTAAGTTCAGTTTCTCAAGATTGTATAATATTTGGACTCAAGCTTGAACGTTTCTTCTCTATGTCTTCGCTCTTGTTTAATGATTTTGCTAACTTTACTCTTTCAATCCTGCTGTTCTCCTCATTTGCTCTTCACGTTTGTATCTTTTCGAATACAATTATGTGAAACTTTGAAACGATTTATCTTTAAGAAATGGGAAATAAACAAAAATGGGTGTAATTATATTAAAAACAAAACATACTACCTATTGAAATATCTTCGAGGATAACAGCAGGGTTAAAATAATCATTTTTCGATCCAAGTACCTTAACATTTGTCCGTAAAGAATTAAAAAATGCATTGAATGGTGTAGAAAAAATGTACAGTTCAAATTAAAAAAAATAGAAGTAACCTTGAAATCTTTGAAACGCCTCCACTTTCGGAGAAGATGCATACAGTACGTGATACATCACTAAAAACCATTTCATTTTTGTTAATTAAATTTTGTTCTATCTTCTACCATTTTAAAGGGTCCTGCCACTGTGAAGCCCTGAAAAATTGCCATTTTTTGGGAATTTTGTTTCAGTGAACGAAATGTTCACCACAAATGAAGTGTTGTCTGTCGATTAATACACTTATTGGGAGTGTAACAAATTTTTTGAAACTGTAAATAGTTTTTTTTTATTTATATGTATATGGTACTGAAGTAAGGGTCTTGAAAAAATGATGTAGTGTTGGCGTAGGTAATTGCAAAAAAACTATTCAACCAATCAGTCTGAAATTTATACATGTTATTCAGCACATCAGTGGCTATCGCAGGGACCACGGAAACCTTTTTGGATCACCAATTTCATACATTTTACAATGCAAAATGACTAAAAACATTCACCGAATTTGAAATTTCAGCTTTAAATCTGCGCCATTTTGTTTATTTTTTAGTGGTCAAAGTAATTTCAGTGCCGACGATAATGACACCCATACCGACTAAAAATCATTTTGAATTTTTTGATTCTGATGCTTCGTTCTCCCGGAATCTCGTACGCCAGCAGTGCAATATATGTATATAATAACAAAAAACTATTAAAAGTTTCAAACAAATTTTTGTTTGATACTCTCAATATATGTATTAATAAATAGGCAACACTTCATTTATGTTAACCATTTTGTTCACCGAAAAAAAAGTTCCCCAAAAATAACGATTTTCAGGGTTTCATAGTGGCAAGACCCTTAATTTTTCCTAATTAAATTTTCTTCTATCTTGTACCGTTTTAAAACTACGGTTTGTCCCAGTTGAGTGGGACACCTTGTATACCTACATAGGCAAGCACAACGAATGGACGCATCTCATTCATTCGCCTTGGGGAGAGAGAGATAAAAAAAATATATATATGTATGTACGCTCAGAGGTATGTATCGGTTCCAGTTCTATTGTTCCCGGCCGCGCAAACGCACACGCGAGTATCGAGTGTACCCGCGCGCGCAATTTCGCCCAGGTGGGCAACGTATACGCGAGTCCGAGTCGAGGCGAGTATACCCGCAAGGTGGTCGTCCGGGGACCAATCGCGTGGCGGAATAGTTAGGCGCCGTCTGTAGTCAGACGGTGTCGTCGCTTGTGAACGGAGTGCCGCGTCGTCAGTTGGTGCTCGACCGTCGCACGTGTAATACGTTCGTTCGTTCGCTCTCTTCGCTTGTGATTTTTCGCGAACGTGCGCATTCGCGTTCCCTCGGAAGTTGACCGTGACGACAAAGTTTTGTGATCGTGATCGTTCCTCTTCGTGTCCGGTGCGCGCTGACCGGTTTGGTGTATCCTCGCGACAACAGGTAGGGGATTTTTTCGTTATCGTAATTTATCCATAGGAGAAATTTCAGGATTTTTTTTTGGAGTAGCAAGAGATGTCCGAAATTTTTGTAACACCTGGAGTTTTGGTGGAATTTTGGGAATGTTGTTTTTTCTTTTAGTTTATTGATGCTTGTATGATCGAGAATACAGTTTGTCGGTATGGTTTGTGAGTAAATATGAGGGGTAAATTGTACGTGGACATGGGTCCTGAAATAGTATGTTAACCCTCTTCCTTTCCTTGTGTAAATTTGATATATTTCTTTCTAGGAAATGCATGTTATTCTGTCATGTGTAGGTAAATTTACCTGAGGTTGACTTTTATTTTAAAGAATTTGCAAATTTAACTATTTATCCCTTTATTATATTAATTTTTTATTACTGTGTCAAGTTGATACCGAGGGACAAATTAAGTTGGGAAAATGAACGACAGATGAGGGTTCAAAATTTCAAATAAAATTAATTAGTGAAAGTTTAATAATGGGCTTGTTGTATTAGGATGTACAAATAGATGATAATGATACTTGTTTCGTACGTGTATTTGAACTAGGTTTACAATTTTAAATTAGTAAAAATATATTTTATATACTGTACAAATATATATACTGAAGTAATATTTCCGTTATTATTATTACACTTAATATTTTTCTATTATTTTTAATACCTTGTTTGTATGAAATTTCTTCTTTTTTCTATTCATGGACCCTACTGGCAATTTGATTGTTTAACTTTAGACCACTCTGTACATGAATTTTCTAATGAATCGTAGAGGTTTTTTGATGACTGTATACAAATACGTGTCCGCGAACGTTTCGTTTTTATTGCTGAGTATAGGAGTTATATGAATAGTTTCGATAAAGGTGTAACATAATATGTACCCTGTTGTGATTAAACTGCAGAATTTATCAGTTTATAGCATATATGTTGAAATACGTAAAAGAGGACAAACGAGAAAAACTGATGAAGTTTAATGGCACTTTTATATTATTATTACTCTAATATAATTTTTAAGGAAGAACAACTATTTCCAATTTGCTTCTCAGAGTACGGAATTTGCAGAGAAATTTTCAGTTTAATTATGATAAATGATATGGAATGATATGTATAAAAGTGATATTTTTTAATTAATGTAACAATTTGTCGACTCTATGAGTTATTTGGAAAATTCTTATTGGAAAATTCTTGCTCCTGATGAACCTGTTTCTTTATCTTGGTGCTCCCAATCAGAATTCATACTCATTCAATTATTATAACTCGAAATTTTTTCAAGTAAAATTACATTTTCATATTTTTGTATTAGAATGAGACATACAGTATCAGAAATGTTGGTAAGAATAAAAATTTGTGTGAAGTATATAATTTTTACAGTTGGTTGTAATCTTCAATGTACACTTGTATTGTTGGTACAAGAATTATTATACAAGAATGAACACTAATTATTATCTCGAATGTACACGAAAAAAATGAGTCATACTGTAAACTAAAAAGTTTACAGTGGCTGGTTATAATCATTCCTTGCAAAGAAATATGACGAATTCCCTGAAGTCTTCGAAGATAGAGTGTTATGCTAATGCTTGAACGCTTTTTTCTTCATTTTTTTTCCTTCCTGCCAATGTACAACATTATGAATGAATTATGGATTTTATGCACTTATGGGATATGCAAGTGTATAAAACACTGCGCAGTACAGCTTCGATCGGTGGTTTTATTTCAGTTTTAACTTAATGCAGATGGCAAAGTAAATTTCTTTCTGTTATTTTTGAAAAATAGTTCAGGAATATTAGGGATTTGTTTATATTAGTACGTTTATATTGAATAAAAGGTGACCATCGGAATATTTTACCCATCAATTGACATTGATTTAGATAAACGACATAAAACTATTATAGATAATGCTACCAATATTGGATTAACTCGTATCGATCTAATAATAATTCCACAGCTGAAATTAGACAAAGAGATATCTTGCTTTGATCCTTTTTGATATGTCTGTATAGAATTTACATAAACGTTGATACTACGTGACAGTAGACATGGAGCGAATTGAAATTGTAATATGACGAAATTCTGCTCCAAGCAGTTTAGGAAAACAGTCGTTCTTTTGCTACTTTCCTTCTTATTAACATAAACGAAGACATAAAATTCCTCCATTCCAATCCTCAAAGTTTAGTTCCTTCAGGTTCCTTAAAATTTCGCCTCATGCAGGAAAAGTACGAAATGGTTATTGAAGAACAATGTTTGAAGGGACTATGAAAATTATACTCTTTCACTTTTTACACTGGCCTTGATTTTACTTTAATGATTAATGAGAACGATTGTATTTATTTAGCGTTGTTTGCTCAGATTGACAATTTTTAAACTAGTAAACATCAAATAAATGTCTATGTATTAGATTTGAACCGTGAATTGAAAAAAATCGCTAGCAAAATTATTAAGGTCATTAGTATTTTTTGAAACTAGAGCTTTTTACTCCGTTACAACGTAATATAAGAGCTGGAATTATTAATATACATTTGAAGAGATGAACAAAATTATGGTATGATATACTGCAAAAACCAGCAATGACTGTGACATTGACAAAAACGGATGGCCAAACGGTGTACCTAAAATCTCGAGATCCACTCATCTGAAATAAAAAAATCGAAGTTTTTTCTTAAGACTTATAGGAATGGTTATCGTATCAAGCACTTTTATTGACAAACAATTAAAATTCGCTGATTGGTACCTGCTTTGTGAAAATGTCCTAAAAATAGGTAATCATTTCATTAAAAAATATTGAAGAAAAAATGTATATGTTAACCCCTCTGCAACGGTGGACGAGATATCTCGCCACGTGATTTCTCGTCCATCGGTGCGAAGGGGTTAACCAAACCATCTGAATACGATAACCATCCCTGTAGGTTTGAAGAAAAACTTTGGTTTCTAATTTCAGATGAGTGAGTTTCAAGATTTTAAGTTACCGTTTGGGCATCCGTTTTTCTGAACGTCACAGTCATTGCTGGTTTCTGCAGAATACATTAAACAAAATAACATTAAAAAAAGTTGTTTCATGTCTTAAAATGTATATTAATAAATTGCAGACTGATTGTTTGTACTATGTGTAGTAGTTTTCTTTTATAAAAAATTTATAAAAGCCGTTTCTTTACAGCGTTTACACCAAAATGTATCCTTATCACGTAATCGCCATCATAAAATATTCTCATTATAATCATTATTTACTAAAGTTTCATTACGTGCAATGAATTTACGATCCAACTCGATGTGCACGGGTGAAAACTGATCCAGCCCTGCAAGCGAACGGTTAATCCATTCGTTCCCCCTGTTGCCATATGGCTACGTATTTTAAATTACGATATAAAATATTAATATCATGTATTTTTCCATATGTGTGAATATACATATAATAGTTTCGTCTAGTCCTGTATAGATGGTATGGCACAGACTTGAATGTACATTTAACAGTTTATCGATAAAATAAAACATTATTTATCTTCTGTCTCCTTCATTTTATGGAATTCAAGTGTTGTGCAATATTACAAATACAATAAAAACTTACAAAACTCTAATTCCTTTCCAATATTTCAATACAGTTTACTGATAAATGATAAGAAAACTAGGGTTTTATTATGTATAATAGCATTGTGGTGAAAATTATATACAACTGCGATAAAGGTAAAAAAAGTTTCTAAATAACAACGAATGAAAAACAGCATTAAACGGTTTCAACATGTTAAAATGTTTTTGTGAACCACTTATATGTCATGTAATATACACAAAAACACAATAAAATGTGTCTTTGGTGATTTTTAAATAATTTAGAAGTGAAAGGGTTTTTGGATTAGTTAAGTAACCCGATTGACACAACGAACCTTGTTGTATGTTTCCACGATGCAGATGACATCGAAAATTGCCTCGACCTCGACCGGGCGGAGTGTTTCGTTTTCTGCACGTTCTATCAGAAAATTTATTCGTATTTCGCGTGCCGCAAAGTCCGGATATTATCGCTGCACTCGACAGTCTCCGCATACAAAGAACCACCTGAACTTTTCCGTCAAAGAGTTCCAGATCGTTCCCCGCGGACGGTGGATTACAAATTCTTGCATCCCGCGAAAAGTTTCGCTTCTTCCGATGATAGATCATCGCCGAAGAATTCCAGGCACGCCGTGATCGCGATTCCTCGATCTAATCTCTACATAATTACTGGGGATTATTAAAAAAAAGAAAAGAAAATAATCATACCACCAGCAAATATTTCTACTGCGTTTATCTCCGTTTAACTGATTAGCATTATTACATTCTGCCGACCAGATATCGCTGATGGTACTACTGATTTCCTGGCTAGATAAGTTTGGCGAAGGTGTTTCGAGCAACAGATATACGCCTCGTCCCTTTAGACGAAATGATTTACGTTATGGTGTAAACGTTGTGAAAAAAACGGCATTTTTAGGACTTTTGTAAAAGAAAACTATAACACATAGAGTAAATAATCAGTGTGGGATTCATTAATATACATTTTGAGAAATATAATGAAACTTTCCTGAATGGTACCTGTTTTCGTGAAAGTGTTACAAAAATAGATTATTTTTCATAGAGAAATGTTAAATGACAAATGTATTGGTTAACCGGAACTTCTGAATCTGCTTGATACGTTACCATAAAACGTTATTCGTTTTTCCGCTAGACCTTCCTACGTTATACGGGTTGTTCTATTGAAATTGACAACACACAAAGTGCTTAAAAAAATAAGTTTTCGTATTAGTGCAATACACAGTATGTTTAATTTTTCTAACATATATGCAACAACTTGTCTATTACCCATAGCAAAAAATATTTAACCAAACCAACTAAACGTTACGTGTAGAATACAGAATGAGAAAAATAAACAATGACTGAAACCATGATTATTATTGATCAGTGTTCATATTTGCTAAATTCGTCTTGTTCATACAAGACTCATGTCAAAGTTTTTTTTTTCTATGAATAC